TTTTGTTGCAGTGGTGGCCCACATCTATACAAAGCAATGTAAGCAACATATATATATATATATATATACACACACACACATATATATATATGCACATATGTATATATAATGATTAAGAAAAAAGTGCAAAGAATGACAGTATTAAGAATTTTTGCTTTTTACAGTAACTATGGTTCAAGTGTGAATATCCATCAGGGATATAATCGCAGATTTTAATGAAAGATTCAAAAAGAAATCCACACTCCAAATTACTGCACAAATATCAGTCCCTTATCAAGTAACTGTTCTCTTCTCCCAAATCTAACATTTCCAGTTTCTAAACTCTTCATAAACAGGAAAAAAAAAAAAAAAAGCTGTTATCTACCCTTGAACTTCCCAAAACTTATTCAAGTTAATTACTCACTCATTGTTTCAAGCAAGATAATAGGGGAAGTCACTCATCATAACCTGTGTTGCTAAAATCTGAAGCAAAGTAAAAAGGCTTGCTAAAATGCAAACTACTGATCAACAATGAAATCAGCAACAGTAAACAGACCTTAAATCACACCTGCATTTTCATGCAAGTGCATGACAAAATCAACCCCTGCTACCAAAGACAAAATCAGAGTCTGGATCTCTTTCCCAAATTCAGTGCTTTGCAAGGGTCACAATTCCAAACATTTAAGATTTCATCACTTTCTACAACAGAGAAAATGCTTCCTGTTTAATTTGTTTAACTTTCTATCATTCTACTCTTGGTCTGGGCCTTTCATTTTGAACAAACATACAGAAAGGTAATTTTTGACATTTAAAAAAATCTTTAAAATCATTACAGTTATGGATTTCAGGTCTCAAAAGTTTCAACAAAGCAGTTCAATTTCCCCTTAAATATACTACTACCTATTATTTGGTGTTTACATATTGTTTTATTCTTACTTTAGGCACTGCAATTATTCACAATATTACAATGATTCAATGTCTAACCTATGCAACAATTATGAATCATAAAATGGTTTTCAAGGTATTATTTGATTCTGTATTTGGTAATACAATTGAATTTCCCTTTAGAGATACACAGCTGGAAGAGAGTTTTAAAGCCCTGCAGTACTCCTGTGTTGAGTAGTGTTAATCCATACTTTTTGTCGTGCTTAATATTTAAGCTTCTTCTGAACTAGGAAGACAATAGACACTGGAAGCTTCAAATTTCAAGAAACTACATTCTATTCCAATTTATTTTGCTCAACAGTAAGTCTTTTTCTTTAAGAAAACAAGTACATCTTAGGCTAAATTTTAAAAACAGATTTTCTGCTCTAAAAATAACACAGCTAAAGGGAAATCACTTTTCAATTTCAGCATCACTAGAACTATGCATAACTAAGTAGACTCAACAACTATTTTAATCAGTTTTGTTTGTTGTTTTTTCTTTTATTACCCTGTCTTTAGAATGATATACCTTCATTCTAACAGACAGCTCAACAAAGGCTTAAAACTCTAGAACTGAAAAACCACTCGGCCACCTCCTGCACAACTGTACTTAAGAGGGCTGGCATTTCATTTGCCCCCATACATTCGCTCAATGTCCTTGAGGTAGTGGTTCCTCAGTTCCTTCCTTTTCAGCTTGAAAGCATCAGTTACCAGACCAGTTTCAGGGGTCCATGGTTCTGGGCTTAGGCAAACTTTGATTGGAATTTCAAATCGCTCCAATTTCACTGAAATGAAATGGGGGAGGGGGAAGAAAGAGAAAAACAATCAATAAACTAAGCATGAATTCTGCAGAGCTGATCTACAGGTGACAAGGCAAACTTATTTAATGATACATTAAATATATCATACTACCAGACAATTTCATATTTCTCAAAGTGTACGTAAATAGTTTTAGTTGGATACAGTTACAGTCTATGCAGTTTTTATTCTAATGTATTTGTACATATAGATCTGTATTTGGTTTTGTTGTTAGGTGCCAGGGAGTGGATTCCAACTCATAGCGACCCTATATGACAGAGTGAAGTTGCTTCATCGCGTTTTCTAGGCTTTATTATTTATAGAATCAGATTGCCAGGTCTTTCTCCCTCAGAGCTGCTGGGTGGGTTTGAAGAGCCAACTTTTCTTCTGGTTAGCAGGCAAGCACTTGATAGTTGTGCCACCAGGGCTCCTTATATGGTTGCATGGCTCACTCATTCACTTCATCCAGATGTCAGCACAAATGTCACCTCCTCAGAGAAACCTCCTGTGTCTCTCTATATCCACTTACACAGTATTTTCTTCAAAGTACTTATCACCACCCAACATATTCTGTGTTTGGCTCACCTACCAGAAGGTAAGGAGCTCTGGTGGTACAGTGTCTAAAGCATTTGATTGCTAAACAGAAGGCTGGTGGTTCAAATCCAACAGCCACTCCTTAGAAGGAAGGTTGGGCAATCTACTTCCGTAGAGATACCGCCTCAGAAACCCAAGGAGGGGTCGCTATGAGTCAGATCCCACTTGACGTCAGTGAGTGAGTGAGTGACTAGAAGGTAAAGGCGCTCTGATGACATAGTGGGTAGGATACATGGCTGTTAACCAGAGGTCAGTAGTTCAAATCTGCCAGCTGCTCCACAGAAGGAAGATGAGGCAGTCTGCTTCCACAAAGATTTACAGCCTTGGAAGCCCAATGGGGGTCACTATGAGTCAGAATCGACTCAATGACAGTGGCTACTGGAAGGTATGAAAGCAGAATTTATTTGTTCTCTGCTATCCCACAGGCCCCACACTGAAAGCCTTAAATAAATACATGAGAATTTATTAATTCATTCTACAGAATATTAAGCCTCAAAAAAAAAAAAAAAAAAAAAAAAAAAAACCTAACTCACTGCCATCAGTCAGATCCAACTCATAGCAACCCCTCCTTGGGTTTCCAAGGCAGTATCACTCTGGAAGTAGATTGCCCAACCTTCCTTCTGAGGAGTGGCTGGTGGGTCTGAACCGCCAGCCTTCTGGTTAGCAGTCAAATGCCTTAGGCACCACACCACCAGAGCGCCTAGATTAAGCCTCTAGACAGATGTTATTCATAAGCTTTTATTATATATATTGAAATAAGGATCAGAAAGGGGACTGTAAATTTCACACTTATAAATGGTATAAGAATTCATGCAGGGCATTTGTACTCGAGTTGGATAACGTAAGAAAATAAGGGCACAGAAGCAATCAATATATTACCTTCATCACAATATATTCCTAGTCATTTATTGTTAATTTATTATTTAGTATGCAGTATTTAGTAATCTATTATTCACATAAGTTCATTCTTAAATTTTCAAGGTACATCAACAGTGATTTAACAGATCAGTTAATTGGCAATTTCACAAAACATCAATTGTAAAGAAGCAAACATTTTCATTTTATTAACTACTACTAAACAGCCTGCATGACTTTAGAAACAGTGTGGTTTCAGTGGCAAGCCCTAAGAACTCAAATCCATGGAAATTCTTGTTCTAACATTAGTCTGCATTTTTATGAAAGCTTGGTTAGATCAATGAGTTTTTCATTAAAATGAGAGAAAAATATAAAGCTGAGTTTGAAAAATAATCTTTCAAATATTACTTCAAACCAACTTCCTAAAAATTCTTTTACTTGCTTCAAAATAGGCGCTCTGGTAGTATAGTGCCTAAGGCACTTGACTGCTAAGCTGAAGGCTGGCGGTTCAAACCCACCAGCTACTCCTTGGAAGATGGGGCAATCTATTTCTGTAGTGATACTGCCTTGGAAACCCAAGGATGGGTCGCTATGAGTCGGATCCAACTCAACAGCAGTGCGTTGCATCGCATTGTTGTGTTGCTTCAAATTAACCATCTCTAACCACTTCTAAGGAGCCAGAGTGGTACAGTGGTTAAGTACTTGGCTGCTAATAGAAAAGGCAGCAGTCTGAACCCACCAGCAGCTCCACGGGAGAAAGATGAGGCAGTCTGCTTCCAGAAAGATTACAGCCTTAGAAACCGTAGGGGGCAGTTCTACATGTCCTATAGGGTCGCTATGAGTTGGAATCAACTCAACAGTAATGTTTTTTTTCTTTTCTTTTCTTTACAAACCATTTCTAAGTTCAGTTACACAAAGGTGCCTGAACTGTGCCCATCTGCACACGTGGGACTGCCATGAGTTGGAATCACCTCTAGGGCAACTGGTTTGGTTTGTTGTTTGTGCTCCATGGTCACATTTTAATCTCAAGGAAACAGTTGAATTCCCGAGTATAGATTTGGCTCCAAAATCTCTTACTTCATCTTACTTTCCTACTTAAATAAGGCCTATTCCAAAAACACTAACAAAATTGGGACAAGGCAGATACAATATGTTGGATGCACATGAGTAAGTTAAAGCACATATGTAAAAGCTCCTATGTTTAATCTTTATTGGCTAAAGTTTTGTTCAAAGGAGGAGGAAAAAAAAGACTGCTGTAGGGGTTTCCCTAAATGCTATCTAGTATCACATGCTACACAGCAATGTGCAATCACTCAGTTTCCTGTAAACAGAAGAAAGTAATTGCAAAAACAAAACAAAACAAAACAAAAAAACCAACTTTACATGTGGATGCTTTTATCTGAATTAAATAGAACATTATGAAATATGACCTGCAGGTGGCAGCAAATACCGATGTTTACAGCCCTTCGTAGATGCTCAAATCACCCAAAAGCAGTTACTGTGCCATCTTCTGATACTAGTTATACCTAATGGGGGGGGGGGGGATGGACACGGGATGGGACACCAAACCCACTGCTATCGAGTTGATTCTGACTCATAGCGACCTCCGCTGGGTTTCCAAGGCAGTAGATCTGTAGACTGCCCAGTCAAAAGTGGAGTGCCTAGTCTTCCTTCCATGGAGTGGCTGGTGGGTTTGAACCACCAACATTCTGGTTAGCAGTCAAATGCCTTAGGCACATGAACAGGTCTGCTATTGAAAAATGTATGATTTGAGAGAGATTTAACTGAATCTAATCAATTTTACATGTTTTTTTGCGTAACTCTCTGAAATTATAATCTGAAGCAAAAAGTTACCAAGAAAAGTCTTTTGTGACACGGAGAAGTTTATTATTATGCATTTAACTCATGATTATTATTCATTATCCAAAGGAGGACTTGTTTGATTACATGCCTCACTCCAAGCACAGGGAAGTTATTGGGGCCCAGCAGGTCTAGGATTTTATTCCGTTGTCTGCATGCATGATCCAGCTTAACTTTCCCCATTACTGCCATTACACAGTCAAAAATTTGTTGTTGTTGTTGTTATGTGCCGTCGAGTTGGACCCGACTCATAGCGACCCCTCCTTGGGTTGACGAGGCAGTATCACGGAAATAGATTACCCAACCGTCCTTCCGAAGAATGGCTAGTGGATTTGAACTGCCAGCCTTCTGGTTAGCAGTCAAGTGCCTTAGGCACTACGCTACCAGAGCTCCCAGTCAAAAATTTAATGACCAATTATTCAAGTCACATTCTACTTCATTAGCTTATTCAGAGAGTGACTCAGAATCATTGCGGTGTACCTCGGATGATTAGTCCTATCGGCTGAAAGACTTTTTGAAAGACTACATTTAAAGAAAAATCAGGATTAGTATCAAAGAAAATTCTGGCAGCCTGCTGGCATTAATGTGAAAGCATGTTTCATCAGTAAGATGTTAAGAAAGAAAGAAAGAAACAAACAAACATTAAACCAATGTCCAGCAACAGAAAAATGGATAAGAGAAATGTGGTATATACACACATAAGAAAATACTACTTAGTCAAAAAGAGAAGTGAAGTCTTGACACATGCCTCAACATGGATGAACCCTAAAAACATGCTGAGCAGAATAAGTCACTCACAAAAGGACAAATACTGTAGGATCTCACATGAAATAAGCAAATATATAAAACCAAAGATTATTAGGGTTATCAGAGATGGGAAGGAGGGGGAGAGGAAGAGTTTTTGCTTAGGGGACAGTGAGTTTATGTTCATGGTGGTGGAATGATTTGGAAATGGATAGCGAGAATGGCCGCACACCTTGAACAATGTCATCAATGTCACTGAGTCATACATGCAGGAACTGTTGAGACAGCATATGCTTTGTTATGTATATTTTCACCACAATAACAAAAAAAATTAAGCTATATACTATCTTTATGGTTATCAAATAAGTCACTTTTCAACGTGATTATGCTAAAAGGCAATCAGAACTTACAACTTTACAGTGTCCTGAGTGAACCATAAGGATGTTCTTCTAGGGGAAAATACTACGTTTTCCCTCAACCTGATAACTAATATTACAAATACAGTTTTTTTAAGCAAATTGGAACCTAAGTAACTAATTTTTAACATAAATAGAAATGATAGTGTGAAATAGGTGTATTCATAGATCCCTGATAAAAGTGTAACTGGTAGAGTTTTTCTGGGGGAGGAAAGGGGATTTTGGTAACATAGGGGAAAAAAGCTTTTAAACTATACATTCTCTTCGACTCAAAAATTTTATTTCTAGGAATTTATACTAAGAAAATAATCATATAAGATAATAAATGAGTATTCAAAGATACATATTTGTTTACAGTGGAAAGAAAAAGTAGAATGCCCAAATATCCAATAGGGAAATAAAGTATAGAATATCCATGTACTAGAACACCATTTACAAATAGTAATGTTATTCTCTATCTACCAACAGAAAAATGTCAATGGTATTGATTTAAAAACCAACCCACTGCCATAGAATGG